GTTAGAGGAAAAAGAGGAAATAATGTAAATGCATGCAGATTAAAGAGTAATATCACTCACCAAGGATTAACATTTGGGGAGATTAGAGGGGGAAGTCTGGCCTTTAATTGTAAGGACATGGAAACGAAACAGCTCACATACACAAACACACAAATGACACACTCATGTGGAAGAAACTCTCTCTCTCTCTTAATTCCAAAATGAACATCTTATACACTAGGCCTATAAACAAAAAACAAGAACCTAGAATCTGGGAGCTAAAGTTATCTGTCAAGAAGATGTTTAATTTATCTCATTCATAAAATCTGTGCAATAGTTTGAGCATGGAATTGGCCGACAGGATGAGTGTATCTATTTCTCTCCCTCTCTTTAACTGACTTGGACAGCTTTCTGCCCTTGACTCTGGACTTTGGCCCTTGTCACCCTGTTGCTGCTTTCTAGGATCTTACTCTTGAGTTATTAATGAACACACCGGCAAAGGCAACACTCAAAAGTCTCCCACTGGCCTCCAATGTACAGTTTCACTTAAAAGTCAAGAGACAACTGAGGATATTACATCTGTATTTATTTTTATCTGATGACATTACAGAAAATAATTATGTATATTGTGGATATTAAACTGTAACACTCTCTGATCATTGTGAAAATGGGATGTTATTCCCCCATGATCTGTGCTATTACTAACAGTATTAATTTAATCCAAGTGACAGCACTGTGTTGATATTTATAAATGCCTGACTGAGTTACAAAAATCCAATTTCTAATTATGAACATATGAGGTTATTTAAATCTGACGTCACTGCAGATTTATTGCAGAATGTTACTTCCAATTAAACATACCAGATATTTTAGATTTATATAATTACATGTCTGTTAGTGCTCTTATCAACAGAGCTCTGACTCTACTGACTGCAATGCTGACAGCACTCTTACAGATAATGGCTCTGTAATTGTGTGGAGTGCTTTTCCACTGACATGATTCACATCCAGTCATTTCCTTCAGAGCAATTTTGCTGCTAATAACAGGTAACGTGATACTTATGAATGATCATTTCCTATCACTGTGGTGGTTGTGGAAATTGGTATTTCCCTGAAAATATCAATATTGTTCAAATGGCAAATGCCAATAAGCATAGTCAGGGTGGTCATACCACTGTGTTGTAAGAAACCACTCCTCTGCTGCCGTCAGTGCAAACAATTCATCTGGTTAACATGTGGCAGATCCTCCATAGTAAGTACAATTGTATACCTTGATCAGAAAGTGACATTGGTGTTGTGTGTTTTTATTTTGACCACACTCTTCAACTGAAAGACAAACATGAAGTGAATATCATTTAAATGAATAGATATTGGAGCCATGACCATATTATCATAATGATATGTGTATGTAATGATGAAGTATCAGGCGACTGGTAGTTACATACAGTTTCACTGTCAAACATGCCTGCAGAGGAATATAAGTACTGGGCTTTTAGGAATGTGTGCATGTATGTGTATAAGCTTGTGCATGCATTTATGTATGTGTAGTCAGAAACAGACACACACAAATAGATTTACATTCATGTATTGTAAATTTGAATGTGGCCTCTGACAATAACACTAACAAGGAAATATGTGTGTCTTTGTTGATGTATGTATGTATGTGCGTGTAAGTGTGCGTGTGATCAGTTCTCTAATACAAAGTAAAATGAGCTACAATTAACTGCATAGCTGAGTTGTATCTCGTGTGACTCCCTAACAAAATTACATCAAGGACATTGCAGTATATTGGCCACACTCCCTCAGAAACACTCTCTCTCTTTCACACACAC